AGAGAGAGAGAGAGAGAGAGAGAGAGAGAGAGAGAGAGAGAGAGAGAGAGAGAGAGGAAAGAGAGAGAGATGCTGTGGTAATAACAATATCAGAGGATTGATGGCATCTTGAATGATAAAACTTTGTACACTGGAAAATATTACAAACAGCAATTTTAACAACAAACAAGTTTAAACAGCCTTGACTCCACAAACCCATCCTACCTGTTCCATCTCTCCTTAGAGGTGGCTAGCATCTTTCTCTCGCAAATGAAAAGGAACGAATGAGCAAAGGAGAAAGGGAGAGAGGGAGAGAAAGGGAGGAAAGAAGGAAACAGTAAAGGAGGAAAGGAGGGGGAGAAGGAACGAAGGGAGAGAGCTAGGAATGCAGCCAGGAAAGAAAGAAGTAAGAAACGAAGAGAGGAATGAACGAAGCGATGAAAGAACAAAGAAAGGAAGGGAGGGAGAAAGAAAGTGTGTAAAGACGAGGAAAGAACAAAGGAACAACAGAAGAGATGCAAGAACGAGGGAAGGAAGGCAGGGAGTAAGGGAAGGAAGGCAGGGAAGGAAGGGAGGAGGGAAGGAACGAGGGAAGGAAGGGAGGGAGGAGGGAAGGAAGGGAGGGAGGAGGGAAGGAAGGCAGGGAGAAAGGGAAGGAACGAGGGAAGGAAGGAGGGAAGGAAGGGAAGGAGGAGGGAAGGAAGGCAGGGAGTAAGGGAAGGAAGGAGGGAAGAAAGGCAGGGAGTAAAGGAAAGAACGAAGGGAATGGAGGGAGGAAGGAAGGAAGGGAGGGAGGGAGTAAGGGAAGGAATAGAAGGAAGAGGCAGGGAGGCAGGTAAGAGCGTGTCGCGCGGGGGCGGCGTGACCCCAGAGTGACCCCGTACCTGACGTCATGCGGCGCGGCGGCGTCCGCGGCATCGCGTGGATCGGCTTGAAGTGTCGCAGCTCCTCCGAGATGCTGTCGTTGCTCTCCACGCTATGGCTTCTATGATGCTTCCCCTTACTGCTGCTGCTGCTGCTGCTGCCGCCGCTGCTCGTGGTTGCTGCATCCACGACACCGCCGCTGCTGCTGCGAAGCACAGACGACGCTCGTTGCCACGGTGATATACACACGAAGGGGGGGGGGACACGTCGTCAGTCGCGCTTCTCGTAAACGCTTCGAACATCAACGGATTTCTAAAACCTTCCCTCTGATGTCGATCGGTTAGATTATATGTGTCCTAATGTTTGTTATTGCAGCATAGTCAGGTCCCTTAGTGCAAAATATGGGCGAATAGTTACAGGAGTGACAAAAGTCTCAAACTTGGCACAGTTGTAGCTTATGGCAGTACTATAATTATTAGAGGGGGTGCCCAATGCAGATATTCCTTAGAAGTGAATTACAGTTGATTAAATGTTCGAACCACCCGACTCCGAACCCTCCTACCGCACCCGCCTGTATACAATGCCAATACATGTACCAGCTGTATACCAATGCGCCAGTACACAGTACAGGCGGGCGCGGTAGGGGGGTTCGGAGTCGGGTTGTTCAAACATTTAATCATCTGTAATTCACTTCCGCGCGCAATATTCACAGAGATTATAGCTAAGACATGTGTCTATACTCTATAGGTATCTAGAATTTTAGAAATGTAACTCAAATCCTTCGCGAGATATTACAGTTAGTACACTATCCTACGGGCCACAGCCGCGCGTATAATTATATTAACCTATGAGCGATACCGTGCGTATATTTTTGGTAATTCACTAAACCAGTCCTTGTGCTTTGGAAAAAGCAGGCGAGTGAAAAATCGCACACCTTGGCTCGCCGAGCACGAGAAGCGCGACTGACGACGTGCCCCCCCCCCCTTCGTCGTGTATATCACCGTGGCAACGAGCGTCGTCTGTGCTTCGCAGCAGCAGCGGCGGCGTCGTGGATGCAGCAACCACGAGCAGCGGCGGCAGCAGCAGCAGCAGCAGCAACAGTAAGGGGAAGCATCATAGAAGCCATAGCGTGGAGAGCAACGACAGCATCTCGGAGGAGCTGCGACACTTCAAGCCGATCCACGCGATGCCGCGCACGCCGCCGCGCCGCATGACGTCAGGTACGGGGTTGCGCTGGGGTCACGCCGGGGTCACGCCGCCCCCGCGCGACACGCTCTTACCTGCCTCCCTGCCTCTTCCCTCTATTCCTTCCCTTACTCTCTCCCTCCCTTCCTTCCCTCTTCCCTTCCTTCCCTCGTCCCTCCGTTTTTTCCCCTCGTTCTTTCCCTTACTCCCTGCCTTCCTTCCCTCGTCCCTCCCTTCCTTTCCTCGTTCCTTCCCTCCTCCCTTCCCTCGTTCCTTCCCTTACTCCCTGCCTTCCTTCCCTCGTTCTTGCATCCCTTCTGTTGTTCCTTCGTTCTCTCCTCGTCTTTACACACTTTCTTTCTCCCTCCCTTCCTTTCTTTCATCGCTTCGTTCATTCCTCTCTTCGTTTCTTACTTCTTTCTTTCCTGGCTGCATTCCTAGCTCTCTCCCTTCGCTCCTTCTCCCCCTCCTTTCCTCCTTCACTGTTTCCTTCTTTACTCCCTTTCTCCCTCCCTTTCTCGCCCTCTCTCCCTTTCTCCTTTGCTCATTCGTTCCTTTTCCTTTGCGAGAGAAAGATGCTATCCACCTCTAAGGGGAAATGGAACAGGTAGAATGGGTTTGTAGAGTGAGGGCTGTTTAAACTTGTTTGTTGTTAAAATTGCTGTTTGTAATATTTTCTAGTGTACAAAGTTTTATCATTCAAGATGCCATCAATCCTCTGATATTGTTATTACCACAGCATCTCTCTCTCTCTC